TACAGATCTGAGATTCAACAGTCTTGCACAATTCACAGCGCTTACCAGAGCAATACCCTCCCCAGTGTCTATCACCCAGTCACCCCATCCCTCCCACCCCACCCCCCACTCCAACAACACTCAGTTTTAATCAACACAAAAATCTGGAAGATATGAAATAATACACAGATTAAGTTAACACCATAAAAAGTTTTTAAAATTTTGTTTATAAAAAATACCCCCCAAATCAACAACAAATATGACAATGGGTAAACTCCCCTAATATATAAAGAGTTCTTTGAAAGCAATTTGATAAAAACAGCCCAGTAGAAAAATGGTCAAAGGAAATACACATTTCCTTTGGAGAAAATATATACACGTGAAAAGATGCCTAACCTCAAACATACTGAATAAAAATTTATAAAATACAATGGGCACTGGGTATTATATAAGACTGATGAATCACAGGCCTGTACCTCTGAAACCAATAATACATTACATGTTAATTAATTGCATTTAAATAAAAAATGTTTAAAAATAAAATACAATGGGAAAACACTGTTTATCTAACAGAAAAGCAAAGATTTAAAAGTTTGATAATATATAGGGCTGACAGAGTACAGGCAAATAGCTCCCTCAAACCTTATTATATGGAAAGTAAAGTTGTACAACTCTGAATTTGGCAATATATAACATCATTTAAATGCATACATTTTGGATCCAATACTCCCAATTCTAGAAAGTTATTCCATAGATCTATACTCATGTATTAGCTTTCTATTGCTGATATAAAAAAAAAAAATCACCACAAATGTAGCAGCTTAAAGCAGAACAACTTTATTATCTCACAGTTTCTGTGGGTCCAAAGTCTGGGTGTGGTTGACAGAGTTCTCTGCTTACAGTTTCACAAGGCTGAAATCAAGGTGTTGATCAGCTGGGTTCTCATCTGGAGATTCTGGAGAAAAATCCACTTCCAAGCTCATTCAAGTTGTTGCCAGTATCCAATTCCTTGAGGTTGTACAATGAGGTCCTCAACCTCAGCCGACCAGCTGTCAGTTAGGGCCGCCGTCAGCTGCTTGAAGCTTGCTCACATTCCTTCTCATGTGGCCCTTTTGCCCACCTTCAGTCTCAAGGCAGCACTGGCATGTCAAATCCTTCTCGTGCTTGCAATCACTTTGTCTTCTTCTGCTGATTCTCCTCTTGTCTCCTTTCAAGGGTTTATGTGATTACTTTGTTCCACCTAAATAATCCAGAATAATCTCCCTACTTTTATGTCAAATGCTCAATAAACTTGATTACAACTGCAAGTCCCCCTTTTCCCTGTAATATATTCACTGGCATGGTAACACATTCAGTTTCTGGGGATTAGAATGGGACATCTTGGCAGGGGGCACATTTTTAAAATTCTGCCTACCACAGCTCACGTGTGCACAAAAAATTCATTCCATTGTTATTTTTCATGACTGCGGGGCGGGGGCAACTATTAAACAAAACTATTAAACAAAAATCACTAAAATGAGAAATCTCCAAGATCTATTGTTAAGTAAAAAAGTAAGACCTACAAAGAAAGTAAACACTATGTTAGCCTTTATATTTTGAAATGGGTTATATCTCTGAAAGATACCACTGATAAGAATGTAAACTACACTTTTGTGTAAGTTTAAATGTTTTACCATATGTATGTATACTTTTTAAAAACTAAAAGTAAATTTAAAAATCCCAAATCCTATAAGGGTTTTTAACTAAAAACATGAAACAGGGGCGCCTAGGTGGCTCAGTCGGTTAAGCGTCTGCCTTGGGCTCAGGTCATGATCCCAGAATCCTGGGATCAGTCCTGGGATCGAGCCCCACATTGGGGCTCTCTGCTCAGCGGGGAGTCTGCTTCTCTCTCTCCCTTTGCCTGCCACCCCCCCAACCCCGCTTATGCAGGTTCTCTCTCTGAGAGAGAATAAATAAAATCTTTTAAAAAAAAACATGAAACAAATTTCTCTACAATAATAGACAATGGGTCAGTCAGTAAGTCCATCACAAGCAAGTTATTCTAATCTTTTTCTTATACTTTGCACATTACTAGAGAAACCTGCCTGCCTTTGGTCTCATCGCCAAGAAGAAAGGATTGATATAAAACACAGGGGAGAGCAAACAGACACTCTTTGCTGCCTGATAAAGAAGCTTATTCTATGAGCATGTGGTATCCATACTATTTTAAATCTAATCCCTCACAGCAGAAGTGGTGTAGAAAATATAAAATGCGACTTGGCTCAATGGCTATATAACAAAATCATTTGGCTTCAAGAGGAATTTACAGGAAGGCAAGCTCCTTGAGATTCAGTTGCTGAGCCCAGGGCTAGACACAGGTGCTGAAGACATCCTCACTTTTCCTAAGTAGTTGATATTTTCCACAAAATCAAGCACCATTAAATGTGGAAATAATTCTCAGTTGTCATATTTTCTTGGGTGTCTTGCTGAAGTTCTGAAAGCCAGCTATCTCTTTACTTAGAAAAATAATAACCTAATAAACACTTTTGCTCTTTAGGAGATAAAGTTATCACACTCTTTCTACTGCATGTGGAGAATGTGCCTCTTACCTTAATCCTGGGGACAATCTTTGTATACAAATCAAGTAAGGTTTTACTAATATTTTCTTTTTGAAACATTCAATTTCCTTAGAAGGAATCTAAGCTTTCTAATTTGAAATAAAAATTTGGGGGTTTTTTGTCTGTGACAGTCGGAATCCAGCCTGATGTCTGATGGTACTAGTAGGTTTACCTTCAAGGGAAAACCAGTGTATCACTTTGCAAATACAAGCACCTTCTCTGAATAAACAGCGATAAAAGAAATCTCGGTTGCCAAGATTGTTGCAGTTGCACTTCTGGAGAAAGTATGCCTAGTTAGCTGTGGTTTTTCCACTGGGTATGGTGCTGCAATTAATACTGCCAAGGTGAGGAGCATTTAATACCCAGTATGAATGGAAATTTTGGTCGATGGAGATGAAAATCCTCATGCATCTGGGCATGTCTGATCATACAACCTCAGGAAGAATCACAAGCCTGCCTCTAAACAACCCTGAGTTTTTTACTGTCTAGTCATCCCATGCTCCCCTTCAATATCTTTCCCATTCCCTTTTGGTCAGTAGTAAGTAGCAAATCAAGTCTGGATGCCAGTCACAACTGGAGATATCAGGAATTCCTGGAAGTTAAACAGAACACAGTTGGCAAAATTACTGTGTTCTTCCACATGCCAGTTCATTTTCTTTTTTTTATTCAACAAACATTTATGGAGCCATTCACTGCTCCAGGGGCTGACACTCAGCAGCTAACAAAACTCACCGAGCTGCTATTCTGTTGTATAATGTATCAGGTGATAATCAAGTGTTCATAAAAATAAAAGGATAGTAAAAAGACCAGGTGATGGAGGAGATGTTGCTATATAAGACAAATTGGTCAGGTAATCCCACTCTGATTGAGTGGGTTACTGTTAAACTATTGTTTTTGAGACATCCTCCAGCTACCTTCTTTAAATATCTATTGAATTGCAATACTTTGTTTTCCCCCAAAGTCTGTTAATCCCAATCCTATATAGAGAAATAGGACAGAAGGGGTTCAATCTGAATTACTCTCATTTTGGATCCCCCCCCCCAAAAAATTAGCCTTTGCCTTCATAAGGCATTGACCTTGTAAGTGATGCAAAGTTTTCCAAAGGAAAAGAGAAAGTAAGGGCTGCAGGATGATGAGGATGGTTTTTAAAAACTCAAAAATAACTGGAATCAAATAAATACTATGGTAATAAGTCTTAAGATTTGATGAAATTTCATTAAACTGCTTTACTAATGTTAATTCCCAGAAATTAAAACTGTATTTACAGGTAGTTTTTTGCTCCTCTAGCAAAAAGTATTCCACATCTAGAAATACCCTCAGAAACCAAAACTCTCTAGTTACAATGAGTTTTATCTGAAAATGTCCTTTGCTTATATCTCATAAAAAGTATATACAGACTTGGGTCTTTCCAACTGAGTAAAGGCACATGTTTCCCTTTGCTTTTGTTTTCTGCCTTCATGTGCTCAGGTGATCCCAGGCTCCACCTGTGCGGTGTTTGGCCTTGGAGGGGTCGGCCTGTCTGTGATCATAGGCTGTAAAGCAACGGGAGCAGCCAGGATCATTGGGGTGCACATCAACAAAGACAAATTTGAGAAGGCAAAAGAAGTCGGTGCCACTGAGTGCATCAACCCACAGGACTTCAAGAAACGCATCCAAGTTTTATTTGATATGACAGGTACTGGTGTGGAATTTTGCTTTGAGGCCATCGGAAATCCAGAAACTGTGGTATGTGATTTTTCCAGAGGGAAAATAACCAATGCTTCTGTCAGTCATAAGCTTAGATTTTAATTGGATGAGAATTCTAAAATTCCCTCCACTTTTCCTCTAAATTATTTAATCTTCCTTGTGCCCCATGACATCCCCGCTGGTATCCTCTGTCCACTCCTACAAATCTATTCACCATTCCAAACACTGAACTCCCATAATGAGATTTCTTCTTCCACTGTTCCATCATGCCATTCCTTCAAATAAGAAGACAACCTCCAACAGACAGTACAGAAAAGCTTTGTAAAGAATTCTCACTGAATTATTTCATAAGCAACAACCTGATAACTATAAATTCCAAGCCAAAAGATTTAAGCAAGATAAGGATAGTATTGGATCAACAGCCTATAAAGGAATGAGCTTTGCACTTTGAGCAATCTTTCACAGTAGACCTGAGTAAGCTTCCAAAGAAAATATTAACCAATTTGATTAGATGGATTAACTTCAAAAATGAAGCAAGCAGTAGTTGTTTTTCCAGCTGAACATGGTTTATATAAGAATATAAATGGAGAGGGGGTTATTTCACAATCTGAGACTTGCTTTCTTTGGGGATTTGTAGAAATAATGTACTATTGGATTGCATGGCTCTATCTCTAGTTAGCTGTATGAAAACCCAATAACTGTCTCTTTTAACCTGAGTGCTTTCCTCAGCTTACAAAATGTTTTCATTCTCCCTACAACATGAACTCCCTCGTGTGTAAAATGGTATAACCAAACCTTTCTCACAATCTTTCCCACAGACAGTCTTGTCTGAGAAATAGCCTTTGAAAATAACTAATGGGAACATGTCTGTTTATCACTCTGTTAATACAAGATGTTATACAACTACAAAGCTGTACTCCTCGATGTCTAAAAGAAAAAGTCAATTCTAACAAACCACCCATGTCAGTAATGGCTCTCATAAAAATTAATACTATTGTTGTTGTTGTTATTACCACCATGGGTGTGTTTAGTATTTTCATTTTTTTAATTTCCATTTATTGAGTCCTAAAGTGCCAGGTATTATACTAGGCAGCATGCAATGTCTTATTTATGTTTCAGCTAATCCTTGTAAGATAAATGTTATTTTCAAATGAGGTCAGGGAGCATCAGAAAAGATCACAGACCATTTAGCAGCTAATATTAGGTCCAACTCTTAAGGACATCTTTTAACCCTTGCATTGTCTTGCATTGCTTTACAACAGGAAGCTGCCCTGGCCTCCTGCAATGAGAGCCATGGGTCTGTGTGATTGTTGGGCTCTTGGCAGGTGTCCAACTCAACATCAGTGGCTTGTTGTTCCTCTCAGGACGTTCTTTGAAGGGAACTGTTTTTGGAGGTATGGATGAAGCAGGGAAAAGTGGAAATGCATGAGGTTTTAGAGGTGGTAAATAGAGAAATGTGTCATAAATGCTTAAGAAGGAACATCAAACAAGAACTTTAGATTACAGTTTTTGTTTCAACACATAAATATCCAAGATAAGGAGATGGATATTAGATGTATACAGTTACTTATTTTTAAATTTTATTTTATTTAAATTTACAGTTACTTCTTGGTAAGTTTTTTATTGATTCATAAAGCAACAGGTGTCCAAAGTTTAATGCAAATTATAAGTTGAAAAGAAAAGGCAATACTGTTATCAATAACTATACTTCAATTGAGTTATATATCTGCCAAGGGGATTCTTTGAAGAATATACTGAATCACTGTTCAACTAATGTTAAGTCTTATCTGAGACAACTGAGTTTTCGTTATATCAACTCAAAGATATGAAACATAATGGATTCGTGAGTGAAAAGAAATACTACTGATAAAAAGCAAATGATAATTATTTCCAGAAAATAATTTTTTCATAGAATCCTTTGATTTTCCATTTTTTAAACCTGTCTTAGAACTTGCATTTTAATAGGCTTTAGAAGAGTGGTTTATTGAGAAAGTTAAGAAACTAGAAAACCTGGGGCGCCTGGGTCGCTCAGTCGTTAAGCGTCTGCCTTCGGCTCAGGTCATGATCCC